GAGGAGTTATCCTGGTGAGGATCCCGTATTGATAGTGTAGCAGAAGCCAGAGGCCTCAAAACAGACCAATGACTCACTGCAAGGAACATCTGCAAGCAAAGATATGTGGACAAAAGGGTATACTGTGTGCTAAGACTATAGGAAGAAAAAAAATGTTTTAGTTCTTTTTTTTTTTTCTTTTAGGGGGGTTACAAGGACAGCTAAGCACAGATTTGGGGAAGCTGAGTGGGACTGGGGTACATGATGTGTCATTTACAAAGAATCAATCTTGGGAGGTAGGAGGTAAAGGCAGGCAGATGTCTGTGAGTGCAAGGCCAACCTGGTCTACATACTGAGTTCCAGGACAGCCAAGGCTATGTAGAAAGACCTTGCCACAAAAAAAAAAAAAGCAAAAACAAACAAAAAAATTGTAAGAATCAAAACTTTAAGAAAAATTATTATCTTCAAGTTTTACAACCAAAAACGGAGACACGACTGAAGCAGAAAGATGGCTCTCTGTGCCTTCAGGGTCAGCCTGGCTGTCACAGGCCATCCAGGCCTATACAGCAATATTCTGTCTCAAAACTTAAAAAAAAAAAAAAAAAAAATTTTGAACTATATCTTACATAAACATAGGAAAGCAGTAGCATCCTTTCGGGTAGCAGATTTAATCAAAGAGTTATTAACACCATGAAAAGGCAGTATGGGGGCTCTGATAGAACTCTGGGCAATGCAGCAGAGTAGGGGGTCCCTTCTGACAGGTTGTGGAGAAGAGGGGGGTTCCACGCCTCGTGGTGGATGAGTAGTCAATAGGAAGCGGCTCGTAAGGTTTCTTCTTAACCCAAGCAGCAGGGAAGGACAAGGGTGTCTTCCATCGTGAAGAAACGTGTGACTTTGAGGATGTGGGGGAATTGGTTTGAGTGGCCCAGTTGGTATGTATCCATCATACAGGTTGTATTATCGGGATTCTCCGATACACCAGAATCTGGTAGTATAGGGCCTGTCCACAGAATCAGTTATGAGGGTGGAGAGACACAGATACAAACGGGCATCACTTGAGCAGTATGTAGCCTGGGTTTAATTCCAGCTTTTTTTTTTTGTTTATATGTAAAGAAATGGTGGGATAATTTATGGGAGAGAAGATAGAGTGGAAAGCTTTTGGGTGTACCAGGAACAGTATTCAAGTTCTGGCTTCTTTCCATTGGCATCAAGAGTGTATAAATGACTCAATGCCTAGAAATTTAACTGAATGAAAAGCTTGAGCGCTAGATCCATGTGAAAGCCAGGGGTGCCTTGGAGTGGTGGAGACAAGGATCCCTGGAGCTTGTTGGCCAATCATCCTAGTCAAATTGCTAAGTTTCAAATTCATCCTGAGACTTTGTCTCAAAAAACAAGGTAGGAGTTAGAGAGATGGCTCAGAAGTTAAGAACACTTGCTGCTCTTCCTGAGGACCCAAGTTCAATTCCCAGCACCCACACAGTGGCTCATAATTGTCTATAACTCCAGCTCTAGAGGGCCTGATGCTTCTGACCTTCTCCAGCACTTGCACCCATGTGAACATACCCATGTGCACACACTCATATACAACTACATATAAGTAAAAAGAATAAAAATAAATCTTAAAAAAAAAAAAAAGTAGAGGGGAGGAAGAGATGGCTCAGCAGTTAAGAGCATGTACTGCTCTTCCAGAGGACGTAGGTTAAATTTTCAGTACCCACATGGTTAATAACAACCATCTATAACTTCAGTCCCAGGAGATCACACACCCTCTTCTGGTCTTCACAGGCACTACATGCTTATAAGTGCACACACATACACACAAAGGAAAACACACATACACATAAAATACACAAACTTTTAAAAACTAAGAAAAAAAGAAAAACAAGGTAGAAAGTGATGGAAAAAGACCATCAGTCTATGGCCTCCATACACATACATGTACCCACTCACTTGAAAACACACACACACAGAGAGAGAGAGAGAGAGAGAGAGACGGGAAAAAAAGCAAAACAAATAGCACAGAGCCTGCAACCTGGCCTGAAAATGCACCCAGCAAATTAATCCATCAGCCAGAGAAGCGCTGGACACTGCAGCCTCACTTGGCCTGGAAGCTTCCTGAGTCTACAGCCTTGACTCAGGGCTCTCTTGACAGCTAACCAAACTGCAACGTCTCCACCACCATGGCAATCTGCCCTGAATTCAAGACCATCAGCCTTAGGACACAGGTACTCTTCCTTATACCCGAGAGCTGGAAAACCAGGTCAATTCCCTCACCAGATAACCCTGGTGACCAGTATAGAGACCTCTTCACACTGGTGGAAACAGATTAAACAGAGCAAATCGAGAACCCTCCCCCAATAAATGACTAATCTAAAGTTAATGTAGACATAAAACAGGCAACTGAATACTCAGAATGCAGAAATAAAGATGCTAAAAGTACACCTTTACAGGACAGTCCATAACCTGTCTTCTAGCAGGATGATCCTAATAGTGTTTGCTCTTTTGTCACTTCCTTTGCTCCTTGCAAAACCAACTTCACATCCTGCTGCCTGCCTTCTCTAGACACTCTCCGAGAATGCCATTCTAGTGGTGGTTTTAACCCTGATTTTTAGCCAAACAAAAGGCACATTTGTTGTGTGTGTGTGTCCTAAATCCTAGTGGTTCTAAGTGGTCTCTTTCCCATCCCGGGTATTCTGCCTGAGAAGCATCGTCTCCGCTTCAGAGTACCATAATCCCACAAGGTCAAATGCCTTGCTGAAACCCAAAGACAATCACTGGTCCCCCCTCTTAAAGGCAACAGCGCTGGTTCCCTTTCCTGTTAGGGTGCCTGTCAGCTTCCCCTCTTTGCAGCGGTAGCACACAGCTGCCTCATTCACACAGGGTCAGTGTTCAGTTATCCGGGGACTTGTGTGCCACCAGTAAGCCATCTTCCACTGCCCTGAGTCTCAGCTAGCAAAGCTAAAAGCAAGGAGGCCAAGGGTGACTGGAGTATTAGACTTCTTAGACATCTTAGACTTCTTGCCCTAATATTTTCTGAACTCCTCTTAAATACAAACCATATGAGAATACAAAAGGGACAAGAGAAAAGTTGTGCCATTTCTGAGTGTCTGCCAACTGCTAGACATCACTCAGGGCATATGAAATGTTTTGTCAAATGTACAAAAAAAAGTTTTCAAGTCAGTGCCATACATGTGGACAAAATTGCTACATATCTACAACTTTACTTAAGATATAACTTAAAGTACATCTACATGGTATGCAAAGCTCCTAGGATGAAGAAAGCCAGAAGCCAGTATTGAGTGCTGCTTGAGACACTCCAAAGAGACAAAGGATGAAGTCACACAAGAGTTCCAAAATCAAAAATCAAGAACAGAAGACATGCTCTGTAAAGGTACTCCTCACAGACATCCCCAGGGCTCCTATGTTTTAATTAATGACAGCCAGTCAATCTCACAGATGATCTGGTATTAGAAATGCCTCCATGAATTCGAATGTCTCCCCTGATCCCTGCTATGTCCTCGGGATCCAGAAGTCTGGTGTAGAAAAAAAAAAAAAATCTCTGTAGCAGTAGAACACCTAAATGAACATAATAAAGTCTTTCTTATATCAAGTGGATAGACTATTGTCTACCCAAGAATTTGCCATTCCAAGGCACTTAAATTTCTTTGCTAACAACTATGGGCCCTAAGAATGTAAGGACTCAGGCTGTGTATGCAGTTCAGCAGTACAGTGCTAGCCTACCAGACAAGTCCAAGGCCTGCGTTTGATCCCCAGCACTGAAAAAAAAAAAAAAAAAAAATCCAGACTTGTGCATTATATTGGTAAGTTGCCCTGTGTTGTTTGAGCTCACTGAGAGGCTGGTTGTGGAGACAGGGTTGATATGCCCTTCCTCCAGTTCAAACCCATGTTTGTCTCAAAGTCCAACTCTGGAGGGCTGGCTCCCCTAATTGTGTGATAGGAAGGAAAGAGAACAGCAAAGCAGCCCAAGAGTAAAAACACTGTGCCCTTGAGGAACAGCTAGAAGGAGAACCATTCCAGTAGAGGTTATTATTGTTTATCCCAGGCTATAAAAGTGCCTGTAAGGGGGAAAAAAAAAAAAGAGTGCCTGCAGTGGGAAAGAGAATCTGGAAGCTAAGACAAGGAGTAAAAGCTCACCTGGGAACTCCAGGTGACTATCTCAACTTCCTTTGTCAGTTTCTATTGGCTGTAGCAACTGTCCAATTTGATGTTATCTCTATCTGTTGCTTTACTTAAAAACCTCACCAAAGGGGTCACCCTGTTCTGCCAAGGGACTCTCTTTACTGGGATTTCTACCTGGTTACCTTAAAGGGGCTTCCTCAGTAGATTACTGCTGTGTTTTCTGAATATCCAATGTGATGATTTCTCTCTCTGACTTAATAAAATCATTCACCTGAATCTGAAAATTTAACTATCTTAGATCATTCTCAGGACTACACAAAACATACTGTTTTACAGACGGTACGCCTGTTAGTGAAAATTCTAACCTCACAATCTTTATAGGGGTCAACTAAAACATAAATTAACAGCTGGGTGTGGCGGCACATGACTGTAATCTCAGTAGCTGGAGGTGGAAGCAGGAGGATCAGGGGTTCAAGGTCATCCTCCGTCACTCAGCCAGCTGGAGGACAGTATGAACTAGGAGACCCGGTCTCAAAACAATACAAACCACGGAACATTACACAAGGCAGTCTACTAGGGAATTTATCCTCAAAATAGGGTGCAAACGAGGTTATTCAGCATGACGTTATTTCTAATAATTCAAGATTAGAAAGCATTTCAATATAGGAAATGGTGACACAAATGATATATATCTATACAGTGAACTTCCACAAAACAGTTCAAAGGCTGCGCTGCAATGGAAACTGCTGCATAAAAACCATCCTTAGAGCCTTGTGGAAAAAGCGCACCGGCCAGGTTCTTACTACCGCAATTGCTTCCAGCTGCCCGCCCGTGCAACACCGCGGACGGCCTATCCGCGTGTCTCCCCTGCCGTGGCTCACCTCCCGGGCCCCACAACCTGAGCGCGGCCAAGGCCAGTCGACCACCCAGCGCCATGACGCTCCGCAGGACGACGGCGCCCAGAGGCTCCAGCGCTCTCCGAACTCCCGCCCCGGCGCGCCAAGCCCCGCCCCCGGCACGCTTACTCCCGCCCCCTCCAGTCAAGTCCCGCCCCGCAGCCCCTTCACCGTCCCTCACAGGGTACCGACCCCGGCGCGGTCACCGGACGTGCCGAGGGCGTTGTCTCTGCCCGGGGCTCGCAGCGTCCCGCTCGGCGGGACTCGGGCTGATGGGCCGGGAAGCCAAGCCCGGAGTTTTCACCGCTTTAGCCCGCGCTCGGCCATCTGGACCGCGCGGGTGATAACGCTCTCTGAGCGCTCACGGCGGTCAGAAATGGCATCACACCTAGTTCTCGCCGGACACCGTCCGGCTCTGAGAGGACCCACGTCTGCAGCGTTGGGGCTACGTGGCTAGTCGGTGGCCAGCTGTTCCCCAGGCACTTCCATTCTTGACCGCCTCAAGGGCAGCGCCAGATACGCGGGAGAAGTTTGGCCGAAGCCAAGAACGCGGTTACCTTGACGACCGCGACACTTTGGGGGGGGGCGGGGAAATACTGAGACGCTCCCGGCATGCCCCGCGCGGCGCGGTGCCGGAAGTGAGCGAGCACTTCCGCCCGCCATCCCTGCCGATTCCCACTGCTTGGTTGTTTGTGTTCCCAGCTCCGCAATCATGAAGGATGTGCCGGCCTTCTTACAGCAGAGTCAGAGCTCCGGGCCAGGCCAGGCCGCCGTTTGGCACCGTTTGGAGGAGTTGTATACGAAGAAGTGAGTTCCGAGGCGGGGCGGGAGCCAGAGGGCTGTGCGAGGGCCAAACGGCCCTGAGCGGTCCGGAGGGTCAGGGATATGAAGGAAAAGGGTCGACAACCTAGCAGAGCTGCTGCCAGGGTCCTGAACCCAGACTCTCTGCTTTCCAGCCTTACCGGCTATGACAGGCTGCTAAGCTTTGTCATTTTTATGTTCTTAATTAACTAAAGGGGCCCCGGGTTGGCCTGTGATGCCAGCTCTTAATTCAAACAAGCAAATAGTTTTGAGGCTAAAATACCACCCCGTCTGAGACACAGACCCCGGCAACTTGTACTAAGCGGGGTACGATTGTCCACAGCCTGTAATTTCTTCTTGATTCTACAACCATTGACTCATCTATTCCTATTTTCTATTATGTTTCATATTGGCCTTTCCCCCCCCCCCCAGATCCTAATGTTTGAGTTTTGGGTTTGTTTTTGTTGTTGTTGTTGTTTTGTTTTTTTGAAACAGGATGAACTTAAGAACAATTGCAAATTGCTCACATTCATCCAGAGCTTTTTCGTGCAGGAACACCTGTCCTGCAGAACCTTTCCACACAGACATTCATGTGTTTTGATGGTGTTCAGCAGTTCTCTACAATTAGTGTTTTCAAGAGAAAATTTTCAATGTTTAGTACATTACTACTTGTATGGAGTAACATTATGTATTTTTCAAAAGCACTTTTTCTGCACTATTAAATGTTAGCCTTTCATCTTGGTGTGAAATATGCTATGTTAGTATCCTGAAGGTGTGTTTATTGGATTATTTTAAGTATTGGCTTCTTTCATGCTTTTTTCATCCCACTGACAAATGAAGAGACCGAACGTCAGTTTTCTATTTCTCCATGAGATGTTCAGCTAATAAGTAAGAGCCTGGTGTTCGGAATATATTGTGGAATTCCAAAGCTCTTCCAGTTGGCATTCATAGTGGGTGTTGGAGCACCCTCAAAAAAAATGTTCTCTATCGTTACCTAAGAAAACTGAATCTTGGGAAGTATGTGTGACCCAGGACTAGCAGTGTTAAGAAATGAACTTGAATTAGTTGGCACATGTTTTAACTATTATATTTTGCAGTGGTACCTGAGTAGCACTTGGTGTTTGATGGGACCATCAAGGCTGAAGGCATCTGTTACTTCATATCAGTTATGGATCTGAATGGCTTTTTGTTTTTTAGGTTGTGGCATCAGCTGACACTTCAGGTGCTTGATTTTGTGCAGGACCCATGCTTTGCCCAAGGAGATGGTCTCATCAAGGTAACGACTTAACAGATTATGTCGGGTGTACTCACAGACTTTAATTATTATTTTTATTTTTTTTTAATGTGTATGTGTGTATCAGAGAGAGAGAATGTGTGTGTGTGTGTGTGTGTGTGTGTGCCTGAGACTGAGGAGTTGGCAGGCAATTGTGAGCCAAGTTGTGTGGGTGCTTGGAACCCAATTTGAGTTTTCAAAATACTCTTAACTATCACTGAGCCATCTCTCCAGCCCCTGCTCATATGTGTTGGTTGGTTGGTTGGTTGGTTGGTTGGTTGGTTGGTTGGTTGGTTTGATTTGAGATAGGGTCTCACTGTGTAGCTCTGACTGACCTGGAACTTGCTGTGTAGACCAGGCTGGGATCATATTTACGGTCCACCGACCATAGCCTCCAGAGTGCTGCCGTTAAAGGCATGCAGTAGCATGTCTGGCTCTGCTTAGGGACTTTTAAATTAAGACAGACTCATCGGGCTTTCTGATGGTCACAATAAGTGCACCTTTTCAGTAGTCACTTTGTGTTGAGGGCTGTTGTAAGGACTGTGTGTGCCCTTCAGGATAGCACTGGGAAAGTGCTTTTGTAGCTGTCTGTCTTTAATGTGATAGTATAGACATAGATAACTTGCCATAGGTTACAGCTAGTAAATCACAACACTGAAACAGATTTTCTGGTTTTTTAAAAACTTATACTAGAGCTAGAAACATGGCTCAATGGAAGTGTGTGCTTAACACCACCAAAACCAAACAGAGACCCTGGATCAGTGGCGCACCTGTAATCCTAGCACTTAAAAAACTTGAGGCTAGAAGATCATTAGTTCAAGATTAGCCTGGGTTGCACAGCAAGATTAGTAGGGAGAGAGATGATTTAAATGGCTTCCCAGTGCTCCTAGCCTGCCCATGCACATGGGTTCCACTAGCCCAGACATTTCTGTCCAGAGTAGTATAGAAAAGAGAATGTCTCTTCAGTTGAAGGTGAGAGGGTTGGAGGGGACTGTGTACCATGATATCTGTAATAGAGCACTTTTAAAATTTTGTCAGCAGCAGGAAAAAAAAAAGTGTGTGTTATACACTTTCCCATACTTTATCAGATTCCCTGATGGATTTTCTCACCAGAAACCTCTTTTCTGAAATTGTTTGTCATCTGAATTTGAAAGGGATAGTTAGCATGTAATTATAGCTTGAGTTATTTCTCCTGAATTATAGTGCATACTACGGAGCTTACTACTCACCGCCTCACCTCCTGGGGTTGTAAGACTTTATGGTTATTACTTACCAGTTTGACATTTTATACCCTTAAGAAACTGCAGTTGCTTGTAAGCCTAAAGATTTTGCTGGGTATTTTGTCTTCAAGATTATGTGGAAAATAATAAATCCAGATGCATTGCATGTGCTATATCATAGTGATACACAGTTCATATTTATCCTTGTATTTCTTTTTTTTTTTTTAAGATTTATTTATTATGTATACAGTGTTCTGTCTTCATGTACACCTGCTCTCCAGAAGAGATATCAGATCTCATTATAGATGGTCGTGAGCCACCATGTGGTTGCTGGGAATTGGACTCAAGACCTCTGGAAGAGCAGCCAGTGCTCCTAACGTCTGAACCATCTCTCCAGCCCCCTATCCTTTGCTTTCTAATCTTTAGTTGATAGTGCCATCACCCCTCTTTTTGAGGGGGTACTTATTTTATTCTATGTTTAAGTATGTTTTGCCTTCATGTGTGTATGTGCACCATGAGCTGAGCATGCTTAGCACCCTCAGGTTAGAAAAAGGCATCAGATCCCCTGGAGTGGGTGTTACAGATGGTTGTGGACCATCATGTGGGTGATGAGAACTGAACCCAGGTCCTCTGCAGTAGTGACAGTGCTCTTAACCATTAGCCACCTTTCCAGCCCTTTCTGTGTTTTTTTGTTGTTTGTTTGTTTGTTTTGTTTGTTTATTTTTTCTTTTTTGGTTTTTTGAGACAGGGTTTCTCTGTGTAGCCTTGGCTGTACTGGACTTGCTTTGTAGACCACCTTGGCCCCAAACTTGCAGAGATCTGTCTGCCTCCCTGGGTGCTGGCATGTGCCAACACACCCAGCTCCTTTCTATGTTTCTTAAACTATGAATACTGTCATGTATTTCTTCTGTCTTCTCCAGTAATCCAGGAGAGTCTTGGAAGGTCAGCATTTGCCACATGTGTTGTGTCCGTAGTACTGGCCCAGTGTCTGAGGAAGTATTCGTGTGTGCTGAGTGACTAAGAAACTTGGTAATATAGGCCTATAGAAAGCCTATAGCTTTCTGAAATCTGAAGGAACTATATTCCAATTGGTTAGGGACACTTGACACTAAGCCAGCCATTGTACTTGAAGCGCCTTGGAGGAGGAATGTAGGAACTGGTATTTGGGGGATTTTTTTTTTTTAATTGTTTGGTTTTTTTTTTTTTTTTTTTTTTTTTTTTGAGACAGTCTCTTTGTGTAGCCCTCGGTAACCTGGAACTAGCTCTGTAAAACAGTCTGGCCCCAAATTCACACAGATATGCCTGCCTCTGCCTCCCAAGTGCTGGGATTAAAAGTGTAAGCTACCATGCCCAGCTATTCAGAAGATTCTTTTTTTTTTTTTAATATTTATTTATTTATTACTTATGCAATGTGTGTTAGCATGTACACCTGCACGCCAGAAGAGGAAACCAGATTTCATGTTTAGATGGTTGTGAGCCACCATGTGGTTGCTGGGAATTGAACTCAGGACCTTTGGGAAGAGCAATCAGTGCTCTTATCCTCTGAGCCATCTCTCCAGCCCCCTATTCAGAAGATTCTTACAGACCATTGTTCTGATTCTCAAAGTCAGGAGCTCTGGTTTCCTTCAATATTTCATTGTTGATCATTTATATGGAATTTAATAAGCCCTGATATGGTTCTCCCACCATTCAATTAAGATGTAAGTGGTGTTCTCTATGTGATGAGAACTTGTTCAAAACTTGTTCTTGACAATCTTAGTGCTGCATTTCTAATTAGAAGCAGTTTTGGGAGTCTGGTT